ATAATAACCTTACATTATTGTCATATTAGGCTGTCTATCCACCAAAGAAATCTGCCTTCTCCATGCCTGGTTCCATTGCTTTTGTACTCTATTTTAGCTACAAATATCGTCCAATATTAGGCAGAAGTTTACAGGTACTGCTTTGGTGGATAAAAGCCTTTTCTAGCTGCGTAATGATTGCATATTTAAATCGATACAAAAATTGCGAGTCGCACTTTTCAACGGTACAGTCACAGATGTCACAGTACCTTGATGTGCAATATATACAGTCAACGTCAATTAGTTCGTGACACCCAAGGTAGTCAAAACTTCGCAACACGTCTTTGTTACATTGGAATAAGGTTATGTTGTCAACTTTTTGGCCACTTTGAGTGTCACGAGCTATTTGACACTGACTGTACATAAGATGCCACAGAACATACCTTTATGTGCAGTCTGTACATTAAGAGCAAATCCAGGAGATACATAACACAGATAGGAAGATATATTTCCATAAATACATTATTTCTGTAATTCTGTCGTTCTATTCATGACTGTACCCTCAAAAAGCTGAAACAATAAATAACATCGCGAAGCTGCAGAGTGCCGGCTCACCAGGGCGGGCGGCTAGAGAGCCTGGGCGGGCTAGTGAGCCTGGGCGGGCGGCTAGCGAGCCTGGGCGGGTTAGCGAGCCTGGGCGGGCTAGCGAGCCTGGGCGGGCTATCGAGCCTGGGCGGGCTAGCGAGCCTGGGCGGGCTATCGAGCCTGGGCGGGCTAGCGAGCCTGGGCGGGTTAGCGAGCCTGGGCGGGCTAGCGAGCCTGGGCGGGCTATCGAGCCTGGGCGGGCTAGCGAGCCTGGGCGGGCTAGCGAGCGTGGGCGGTCGGCTAGCGGCCTGGGCGGGCTAGCGACTGCTGGGCGGCATCGGCATCTGCGCCTGCACGCCTTGGAGGTTCATTGGCCGCCCGTTAGGGTTGCCCATGCCCAGGCCGTCTTGGTAGCTGTTGGCGTCCATTGTGTCATCGTTCTGTAGAAATGTTTAGTTGATTTTGTAGCATTCTGATGTTTGGTGTAGGATATTACATTGTATAAACTGTCAGTGTATCTAACAGAGATTAAAGTATAGATCGTTTCATCCACGAAGACGCGCCCCACCATTCTTCCTCAATGTTTGAGTGTTATCGGTACACGCTAAATCATCCATGAGTGCACACGCAGACTACAATAACGACGCTCGGATTGCTCGGATCAAACTCCCCGCATCCCGCGCTTCCTTCGACCAAAAAATTGGTGGGGCGCGTCTTCGTGGATGATACGATCT